ATGCCCATAGGTGGTTGAGCATTTGTATTTATTTGCATATTCGTATTTGTGCCTGTATATATTTGTATATATGTATCTTTATATCTCTGTCTATATTTGCACGCGGCGACTTAATTATTACACTTGTTATTTGCTCGGCTTTATTCATGCATTTTATTTGTGTTCATATTATGTTGATGTTGTTTATTGTGCGGCTTTGCCATTGATACAAAATTATGTCTTTTATTAAAAACCTTGCTCATTTGTATAAATAAATGCTCGCATCAACAAATGCATGCACAGATATCCTTATACATATACTTATGCACAAACAAATATACGAGTATGTCGATAAATGCACATGGCTTTATATGTATTTTAATGTTTTTTATTTTATTTTATTTTTTCAATATTTTCAGCTCATTTGCAGCCTGCCAGCAAAATAACAAACATAGCACTGCATGAAAAATTTACTGAAGCTTGAATGCTCTTTTTCATCAGAATATCTTGAAATGAATATTTATCTTAAAGCAAACAACAGTTGCTGTTATCAGTTTTTAATATGAAAACTTTTAAAGTGTGCCATTTATTTATTATTATTTTATCAACAAAATATAGGCATTATAGTACTACGGATTAAAATTTACAATACGTTACAGTTTCAGCTTAAAAGATAAGAAAGTTTTAAAAATAATCTGTATACCACTACAAAGGAGAATTACCATTTTGTTCTGGGACGTTGAAGGGCTTTTTAATCGATTACTGGGACTGTACTGCACGACGTACAGAGTCCTTTCATTTGCACTATTTGGAAAGGTTTTTAGATAGGCTTTTTAATGACTGAAAGGTTCATATACCTATTGTTTTGCTTTAGCTTGCTATAGCGAGTTATCGACCTCCAGGATCAAATTAGTCGATGGACGTTTTATTTAAATTTCAATATTGTGTAGCCTAGAGTTTTACTTCGATTTTTTTTCAACGCTTTGACCATACTTCTACGAAAAATAATCAAAATTTGCAATTACGTGCAAAGTAAATTCGCAATAATCTCTGCACATTGAAAATAAAATACCATCTGACTGTTATATTCCTTGTAAGTCATAAATCCTTTCGACATAAAATTGATAACAGATATTTAATGAGCAGTAGTGTTGTTTATCTTTTGGTGCAAATGGATATTAGAAATGTCTTACTTTACACCTTTAAGATTTTTACCACTCTAGGAATTTTATATTAACAGTAATATTTATTGCATTTCTCAATAGGAAATGCAAGTAGAGTCAATCTCTTTTATTCAGAATTTAAATTCAATAAGTATTTAAAATAATGCAAATAATTTGATTCACATTTAAGAATACTGCTATTTATTTCGATGTAAAAAAGAAAAAAAATAAAGCAATAGAGAACTTAAGCTAAATAAAACTAAATCATAATAATCCTATAGAAATTTAAAAAATATAGGAATAACAATTTTGTTTATTTTTGATTTGGAGTGCTTATCTTATCGACATAAGTTTTTTAGAAAACGCTAACTAGTTAGCTGAATAGTAGCAATAGCCTGGTTTGCTACTTGAACTATGCTTGCTTGTATGTTGCCTTTTCAACAATTTTAAATATGTACTTTGATCTAGAAATAATAACTATTAAGAGCAAGGGAATTCTTCAAAGCCGTTCCAGAACTGCAGGCAGAAATAAATACCTGCTCAGCAATCTTATTATTAATTTAATTAAACATAAACGGATGCTTTTCATGATTACTGAAATATAGATTTACTAGCTTTAAGTAAGTCTAACCATTTGTACCTCTAGTAGTGGAATATTGTGGCACATATGAGATAAATCCAATTAAAATTGACTGCAACTTTGACGAATATTTACTCGCCAAAAATTTAAAAAACAAAGTGTGTTAGGCTCAACCACAAATACTAGATGGTTGCTTACTTTATAGCTTTCTCGGTATATATACAAAACTCGAGAAATTATCGGCAATCGCGAAGCTTCAGTGTAGTGCTGCGGTATTTATTTGAGAGGTTTAGGAAACGAATCAAGCTATATAAAATGTTATTGCCAGCATAAATGAAAAGACAAAAATTGTTTGCATGTTTTTTTAGTAATAATTTTTATTTAATTTCTTTTGTTTTTGTTGTTTAATTAATTGTAATATAATTGCAGTGACATGAGGTGTTGTTGCTTCATCATTAATTTTATATTTATATATATAATATATATATATATATCTTTTATATATATTTATATATTTTTGTTGTTTTTATTTTTGTTGTTTTTTTGTTGTATTTTTGCTTGCATTTCTTTAAATTTAATTAACTATAATTAATATTGCTTTTGCGTATATAATTCATTCAAAAAACAGCTAAACAAACAAAAAAAAGTTGATACAAGAAAAACATACGAGTACGGCTACAACTTGATGATGATGCTCTTCATATCATTTTTCATTTCATTTGCGTATTTTTTAAAATATTTTTCTGTTCGTTTTTTGTTTCACGGGACATTGTGTCTCTCTATGTACGTATCTGTATCTGTGTCTGTATCTTTATGTGTCTCTGTGTGTGTGTGTGTGTGTGTTTGTGTGAGTGTGCGTGTTGTGGCTCTTAAACAGGAAAGGGGGGCGGCTAGACACCTCAAAAAACATAAAGCAGTTGCTATCTGCGTCTTTGTCGCTCTAAACTTATGCGAGGAACATGCGTTGAATTCAACATGAATGCTTTTTCACTTACATAAAAAAGTTTAACTACTAAAAAAAAATATTAATGTTATTGTTAAGAAATAACTCGCACCCAGCAAGCATTTAAGTAATTCGTATTTTGTTTTTAGCATGCTTGGGGCTTGAGAGACACTATTCGGTCGAGTTCGAGTTATCGTCTTCGTCTGGAGCTGAATAACATTTGGGTCTTAAAAAAAAGCTCATGAAAATATTTATAATTATACAAAAAAAAGTGTCTTGTTCTTTGGTTTAGAACTTAAATATAAGCACAAAAAAAATAAAAATAAAAATAAAATAAAGGTTGCATTAAGTTTTGTGGTTGTTGTTCTTGTTGTTGTTGCTATGATTATTGTTGTAGTGTGTGTGTACCAAACGTGCGCCTAGCTCGTAAGTCTAAAATTACTGGGGATTATTGTGTCTGAGGGGTGAATGTGTGGGTGAGTGTGTGTGTGGGTGTGTGGGTGTGTGGGTGAGTGTGTATATTGAAGTGAGTTGCATACATATATAGCTGCTACTAATCGTCTAAAATACCAGCATACAATAGAGTCCAGTTAAGGTGGATAAGTGAGCTGGACCGGAGGCATTTTGAATCGATCAATAGATCGACTCTACGAGAGGTCTGGTATTGTGACTGTTTCTGAGAGACGTTGACTGAAATGCTTTAAAGTTCCAGATTCATATTCCAAATGCCCTTCCAGTCTTGCCTCCTTCCCCTCCGATTTGTTATAGCCCAGTTGCCAATATCCAATCCAATTACTACAGTTGCGCTCATGCTACTATATGTATATATACGTGTATATAACTGGTTTGCATTTAGTACAAGGAAACCCACAACTTACATATCTTATGTATGTTATACTTGTATAGCTACCGATCTGTGTCTGATTTGCATTATCCAAAGAGACAAAAATGATCATAAATTATATTCATATACTGTGGGGTGGATAGGGAAAACGGTATTGTAACGGTACTGTACTTAAAAACTACATAAATTATTTGTTAAATATAGGTAATGCTCCCGCTGCTTTTGCTCTCGGCATCTCTCTCTTTAAGATTATTTTAAAAAAAATGTCTCACTATGACTAAGAAAAAAAATTTGCTTTTGCTTTTGTTTTGCTTTTGTTTTTTTTAGGTTTAAGGTTACATCATACAATATATATGTATATATATATATAATTATTCATATATTTATATATATATATATAGATATAGGCGCCATCTTTGATGTTGCTATTTGTTTCAATCGTACAGTATTAATATATATATACTATATATAAATTTATTTGTTATGCCTTTTGCTTGGGCTGTCTGTCAACCTGATCCACTACTCTGCTCTCTTTTCCGCCATGTCTCTAATCTGTTTCATATACATATACATATAAATGTCGTGAATTTATATAGAAGTTTGAGTGTGTGTGTGTTATATTTATATATGTATATATAAATCTTTATATATCGGTCCGTTGTTGGCCACTTATGTGCTAAATTTGCGGCTGCAATTGAAAAGTTACATTTTATTTATTTTCTTTCAATTGCAGCTCGTGAAAAAGGAAACTAATTTCAAGCACTGGGGGTACAGTTGCGCACAAAACATCTGCAGGCAATGCAATGGCCACGCTCGCACTATCGCTCTCTCTCTCTCTCTCTCTCTCTCTTTCTCATCGTTTTCTGTCTGCTTTTGAATTGCTTCGATTACACTAGGGTTTTGTTTTAAAAGCTGACGGAGCGCGCGCCAAGCGACAATATCACAAGAACTACGATCTAGGCGTTGCTTATAAAAACAAAAAAAAAAAAAAAACTCCTTGGTGACAGTGTGCAGGACGCGCGCCCCACTTCGTCTAGGTTATATAGGTTACATACATACATACATGCATATACATACATACATACGGATAAGTATATATGTATATACAACAATATCTATACAATATACTTTATAGATCGCTTCCACTATGTACAATCGAGCGTGGCCATTGATTTCTTATCTCCGGGGTTCGTCTAAATTCGAAACAATTCTCTAACCCATAATCGACAGCCCGCACCATCAGCTGCCCGTCGCAGTCGCAGTCGTCGTGATCGTCGGGGTCGTCGTCGCCGTTATCATCGTGGTCGGCAGCAGAGTGAGGCTTAGGCTGCTGCCCCAGCTGGGTTGGGGCGCAGGCTAAAGCTGCTGCAGCTCAACCGTTTGCGGTCAGACATCGACATCCAGATCGATGACAGAGGAGCGATCGTGTTCATCATCATCATCGCCGCCCCCATCATCGTCATCGCAGTCCGACCGACCATCCATTAATTGTCACTGATCCGTTGCGGCTGTTGCATGGTGATGCTGTTGTTGTTGTCCGGCCGCGGCCGCTGCCGCTGCGGCCGCAGCCAATGCGTGCGGATGGGCGTGCGGATGATGCGCCGCCGCATGATGCAGTTGCTCCTCCGTGAGGAGAGCGGCGCTCCCATTGTGCTGCACCTCCAACCCATTCACCATTTTCTCCATGCTCTTTAGCTCCGATGGCGAGTGCTGCGGCTGACGCTTCAGCAGTGACGGTGGCGTTGTGGGCGACATTGATATGGGTCTGGTCGGTGGTGAGTGCGAGGTGGCACGTGGACGCGGACTGGAGCTCAGGCTGCGCGGTCCGTTCTCCAGTAGGCCGCCACCACCGCCACTAGCTTGGCCGCTAAGCAGTCCGGGTGGTGGACCGTCGGCACTGCCATTACCACTATTCCGATTCGCATTCGAGCCAGGCGTTACGGCATCGAAGGCAGAGCCCAGGCTGCCGGGTAAGCTATACGGCGAGAAGCGATGACTTTTTAGACCCTGCAGTGGAGACACGGGCGTGTGACCAGCGGCGGCATAGGCATGTCCAAATAACGCCGGATGTTGGGCGGCCAACGCCAGCTGTGCATTGAACAGCAGGCCCGGATTGAGGCCGGCAGGATTCATGGCAGCTGCGGCGGCCGGATTGTGCAACAGCCCCAAATGCGGTGGCGGATAGAGTCCGTGCGGATAGAGGTAAGGCAACAGATGCGGCGACGGGTGTATCGGTGGTCCCACAGAGATGTTTGGCGAGGGGTAGCTGCCCGAGGCATTCAGACCGGCGGCAGCCGCAGCGCCTGCACCGACACCCTCCTTGGGACTGCCCGTTGAGGTGGGACGAAAGGCACCGCCAGTGCTGCCACCGACGCTTTCCGAGCAACTCGAATCGCTGCCGTCCCGCTCCACATCATCTGCCTGCAGGCGACGCCGTAACGCATCCTCCGCATTAGCGGCCGCTGCATGCTCCCCAGCGCCAGCCAGATGATTGAACCAGGCGGCAAGTGCTGCAAACGAAAGGAACAAAAAGGGGAGAACATACGATATAGATGAGTAAAGAGCCTGCACAGTTAAGGATAGACTAATTCTAAATAAAACGTTTAACTAAAGAACATCAGGAATGAAAGGATATATTTATAAGTACATCGAAAATCTTGAAGAACTTTGAACTCATTTGATCACAAGTGGGTTCCAAAAAGAAACGAAGTAAGTTATATGAAAATTTATAGATGAATGTATGTATATTTTTATGAAAAATCTTGAAGAACTTTAAACTCAATTTATCACAAGTGGGTTTAATAAAGAAACAAAGTTAAGCCACATTATTTTCAATGCCAGAGCTCGTGAATCTAATCTTTCATCGTTTTAATCTTTCCAAAGAATTGTGAATACGTGATAAGATTGGGAACAAGATTGAGTTCAGATGAGTTCAGCAACGCTATTAATTTAGGGATCACAAAAAAATAAATGAGTGTTTCAATTACTTACCCGAATGCTGGTGCGCATGCATTTGCTGCAGCGAGTGACTCAAAGGCAATAAGGGACTTTGTGGCGGACCAACCACATCCAGCAGCTTATCCTCGTCGTCCTGCTGATTGTCCAACAGTGCCGCCGCATGCGGATGCAGATGCGGTGGTCGTCCAGCATGGCCCAAATGCAGGGGCGCTCGTGAGCTGCTCACATGCGTAGGATTCAATTTGTCCGAATCGGACCCTCGGTTCGACATCAGCGCCTGCCTGTAACAACAGTTGTACGAGAGACAAGGACACAAATTAGAACATCCCATGATCAGATGGTTAGCGGTTGCTATAAAACCTCTTTCAATCGAATCTAAAGTATGCAATTCTTAGAGATACTCAACAAAGTCTTTTTTCTATGAACTTGAAAACAGATAATCGTTATCATGGCCGTCTAATAATAATTATAATAATAATATTTTTACTGCCTGCGAGTCGTGCTATTTTACCGGCATAAATCTAAAATTCCTGTCAACGCTCTCATGGAATTTTGAAGGCCTGTGATGGGCGGATGACACTTTTGTATATCTTTGAGATTTTATTTGCGCGTGGCGCGTAAATATTTTCGCACAGCATTTTCGGTGTTATAGCGATGAGATAATATTTTTGTCGCAAATGCCGTCGCTTAAATGATAAAAATACGCTTGGGGCGCACTGAAGTAAACAACGGCGTACAGCGCCTAAAATTATGCAGTCGAAATTGCTGCGCTGTGGCGTACGGCGAGGCCGGAACCCTAATTGAAATGTAACAAACGCCAGCCGGAAACGGCCTGCCAGCATGTGTATGTGTGTGTATATATATGTGTGTGTATATATATGTGTGTGTATATATGTGTGTGTGTATATATATGTGTGTGTGCGTGTGTGTGTGTTTCGTGCCCGACAATGAAATTGAAAAATAATTCAAAACACGTTAGTGTAATTTAGTGTCTGTCGAGCCACTGAACCACCCAACCACCCAAACGCCCATCAAATGCCTGTCTCTGGCATTATATTTTTTGTTGTTTCTTTCTTCTTTTTTTTTGTTCCAGCTCTGTTCTGTTGTTCACACATCAAAGCAACGGCGTGCTCGAAATTGGGCAATTTAGTTGCCCGCCACATACGCGTATATGTATGTACGTGTATGTGGGTGTATCATTATCACAGCACCACCCATCCCCCTCCCTGCCCATCCGCCACATGTCTCCTGCCTAACAAAGGCCACTGCCATTTCTGGTATTGTGCCACAGGCGTCTTCTTTTACACTTAACTGTTTTTCCATGTACGTGTATTTTTGGGTTCACAGTGCCGGCCATGCACCTGGCCATATGGCCCATATGGGCGCCCGGGTGAGTGTGTGTGAGTGCGCCTAATTTAATAGCAAATCAATTTGTGTTAATCCAGGCAGCGCATCTGACCCACCCACTTAACAACAAAAGACAACAACAGCAGTAACAGCAACAGCAACAGCAACATCAACTGCCAACAAGCAGGCAGCAAATCAAACACGACACGACACGCACGCCAGGCCACGCCAGCCATGCCAGCACTCACTAGTATGAGTATTGTGGTTTTGGCTATTTAGGTAATGCTCCAACAGGGTCGTAACTAAACGCGCCCAAAATGGGGCGCACGTAATATTTGTAATCGGCCTATGCGAGTGTGCATTACGCAAAAATTGTGGCAGAACCTGAAATCGACTGGTATTTGATTTTTTCAAAGCTTGAATGGGTAGAGGCATATTTGATGGAATGGTGCCCAACGTGGGGCCCACCATACTCCTACGTCTAAGCAGCCAATGTGACTTCGAAAGCAAGCTCAAAGTGTTTAAATATTTGTCAGTTAGGGTCATATTTCAAGAGATATAAATATATAGCTATGCATTTTCATTGCTCCAAATAAACGGGTCCAAGCTTGAGCGCAGAAATGAATTCAATTTATCCATAAGAATTGGAGGAGGCCATTTAGTTAGAATCTGGAGAGTAGCGCCCAAAATGGGGCACATTTGATGTAACGCCACCTAAATGCGTTACATGCAAGTCAACCATAAACTTCAGCAATACTAAACGAAGACGTTTATCTCGCCCATTGCTGTATATTGTTGCTGTTGTTGTTGCTGTTATTGTTGTTGTTGGGTGAACGCCCCATGCAGCTATTTTTCAAGGTGCGCACTTGCCGAGGGCCGAGGCCTAAGCCCAAGCCCAAGCCCAAAATTGTCTTATCCAACTTGTGAGAACTGACGTGCTTTGCTCTGTAATTTTTGAATTACGTCTAAATTTTAGGCTTAAACAGCCAATACACGCCCATTCGAACACCCAACACAGACGGGCAGACAGACACAGACACAAACACATAGAGAGAGCGAGCTCTAAATGCAAGGCCTGAAGACCCAGCCCTTGCCAATTTGCGAAAAGAATGGAAAGCGTCTGCTAGCTGGCAAATTAACAGTTCAAAAAGCGCGCCTATTGTCAACTAACGCCTGCAGCTATTTGGCTAAGGGGTCGCTTCTATGTTTCTGGTGAGTGTGTTTGAGGTGCAGAATCAGGGTGCGATGCTGCCGAGCTGCCCGGCTGAGCAGCATGAGCGGGGGGTTGGACGCATTTCAATTGCTCTTTGTGCGTTGCGGTGGCTGCTGCTGATGCTGTTGCTAAAACGTTTTCACTTTAGATTTCCGTTTCGGTTTCGCATGCCAGGGGCTATGCTCTTTGGCAGGCAGGCAGGCCCCCAACCCCTTCCTTGCCCAGCCCAGTCAAGCTAACGACTACTAAGCAAGCAAGCAGTTAGAGTTTTGTTATATAAATATAATTCCGGCGGATGTTGCGCACTGGCATAGTTGCCACCAATTAGCGGCGCTTGCCAGCTGTGAAAGGGTTTTTCAATTGACACCCAACGCCCAGGCAACGAAAACGCAAAACGAAAAACGATGCTTTGACATTTTGTTGCTATCGTTGTTGTTATTATTCCGATTGCTGCTAATGAAGCGCAAGGGTTGATAATTTTGCAACCGCAAACATATACAAATACAAATATAAATGAAAATGGAAATTCAAATAGAAATAAATATACAAATGTACAAACGTCACAAAACATTCAACTCACTTCATTTTATTTCATTTGAACACTGAAAAGTCCGGGGCAAGTTGGGAAACACTTTTTTTTTCGGACTACTTAAATGTTTTGTCAGTTGGAATTGTGGCCAGAAATTAATTTGCAAGCGACAGAAAAAGAGTTGACTAAGTCACACTAATTGCCAAGGATTTGTTGGCTTCAAGCTGTTGTCCAATTGAGTTGTTGCCTTTGGCTTAGTCTGCTTAAGCGGCTTAGCGGTTTACGACAGGACTCGATTATGTTTGTACGAGTGCGAGTACGAGCACGGGTACGGGTATGTAGCATACCTTTCAGCGTTTGCATTGGCAATTCCATTAATAATGAGAGAAGTTTGCCAGTTTAGTTTCCTAGTTGACTTTTTGGGGGCGTCATCCGCTAAGTGACGCACTCCTGTCACATCAATGACAATGCGTTTTGTGATTTCGATTTTGATTTGGATTTCTAGGCAAATTGCGTGCCAGTTCAAAGAAATAAAAGGAAAATATTATTGTGGGGTTGCTTGCGACTGACTGCACCCTGTATAACCATTTTGTGGTTTAGTTTTGTGGCACGCTGCCGCTGACAGATGGATAGACAGGGGGGCGGATGGGTGTCGGACGAACAGACAGACAGACAGACAGACAGTCAGACAGGCAGGCACACACGCTAATGCCAATCAATGCAGTAATCAGTTTTACAACGACGATTCGGCTTGAGTGAATTGTTTGTGTCAGTATAGGACGACGCGCAGTTCAATCAAACAAAATGCCAATGCAGGACAACATGACTTTCCAGCTTTGTTGATGGACTTGTTTCCTTCACATTGTCGTTGAAGTCCTTCAAGCTCATCATCGTGCTCATCATCATGGACTTGTCGTCGTTGTCAGTTGCCAGTTACCAGTTGCCAGTTGTAGAGCGAAAATTGATTTGTAACGTTTAACGTGCGTTCATTTGTTGTACACCCCGCCCCCAACCCCCAGCCTCTAGCCTGTAGCCTGCGCCCCAGCCCCAACCCCAGCTCTAGCTCCGGGTCAGAGTCAGAATCCATGATGCCACGAGTCCGACCAACTATTAAATGTCATTCATCATTATGCTAAGTCATGGCGCGCCCCCGGGCTTCGGGTTGCCCCAGCTTCCAAAACAGCCTGAACTGTGGCCGGAAACCGGAACCACTCCAAGCACTGGGCCAAACGACTCGATGGACTCGATGCCAAACGATGTTGATGTTGATGGTGATGTCGATGTGGATGTCGATGATTCGGCCCCCTGTTGTTTGTCTGTTTGCCACTGTGTTTACTTTTGGTTATCCTTCAAAAAACAATTACAAAATCCCAGCTAAAAAGTCAATCCAAAGCCATTTGACCAAAGAGCTTGTGTTCTTGTGTTTGTTGTTCTCCTGCTTCTCCTGCTATGTTTATTGTTGTTGTAACGGACTGGCTGGCTGGCTGTCTGGCTGGCTGGCTGGCTGGCTGACTCGATTCGTTGGTTGGGCCTGGGGGTCCGGAATACGTGCGCATCATTGTCAAGGCAGTCAGCACAGGAAATTGAAATCAATCCATCAATATGGATTACATGCTGACATTGCGGGGACCGTTGTCCATGCTGAGGTGCCAGTCATCATCAGCATCAGCATCATCATCTTCAACCTCATGCTCATCCCCATCCTCATCCCCATCCCCATCCTCATCCCCATCCCTAGCCACATCATTATCATCATCTGCACTCTCTTGTTGACTTTTGCTCCACTGGCGCTTTGTGTGACTTGCAATTTGACAAGCTGCAAGCTAATTAGTTCCGCAATAGATTTGACAAAAATTAATGTCTGTACTAATCATCAGACAGCTATAGATACAGATCAAGAGATAGACAAATGATTTCTGTCCGCCACCCTCCCACCCACAATCTCTGCAAAATGTGGCGCGACCACAAAGGCTGTGATTTCGTATCGAGCTCTCTTGGTTCAAGTGCTGATTAGTTTGCCTTTGTGAGGTTGCGTTTGCGTTTGAGTTTGAGTTTCAGTTTCAAACACATAATAGCTTGTTCATGAGTAGTCATGTGCATGCCATTATGATATGAGCCCGGTTTGTGCAGCTCTATTTAGAGCTGTACATAATACGCCAGCAATTGTTCAGTTAAGTCCTATAATTAGCTACGAAATGGTTATATTTGAAGAAGAACTCACAGAAGGTATATTTAGAACTCATAGAAGACAATTGGAATGTGCCTCTCAGCTTAGAACTTTCGTTTCAAACTTTTCTTTCTATATTCATAAAAATGTAATTTTGAAATATTTTATGTATGCTCTGGATTGCTTTTATCCTTTCTTTTCGGACTATAACACCCTAAGAATCGTCTTAAATCATTATAAACCATAAATTCAACTTATGAAAGTATTAGTGAATTAAGATTGTTGGCTTATAAGTTACTGATTCCATTTCTATTTTAAACGGTTAAACGGTTGCCCAACAATTCTATAACTGTTCACATAGCTTATAAGACAACTTGTCTAAGATAAATAATGTTTTATTATTTGCAAGAAATTTCAAAACAATCAATTAAATTATAAGCCTAGCACGCAGCTATTTAGTGCCGCACATTATGCGCCAACAATTGTTCAGTTAAGTCATATATGACTGGAGGTATATTCATTATGTTAAGAAGACTATTTTAATGTGCTTTATAAGACTCTCTTCTGTTCAACTCTATGCTCCTAAAAATGTATTTTGCAATTATTTTATTATCCCTTCATTTCGGACTATTGCGTTAATCGTCTTAAGTCAGTCGTACAGTGAAGTATAATTTTGGCTTATAACTAACTGACTAATGCATTATATTCCTCCTAGTTTTTAAGTAAACGGCTTATAAGATAACTTGTCTAAGATAAATAAACGCTTTATTAGTTGCCAGAAATGGCAAAACAATCAATTGAACTGCGTCTTTAGTGCTCACACTTTTTCAAAGAGGCCGGATTAAGACTAATAATAGTAGCTTAATTATTCATTGAAAATAGTCATACATATGTATGGGGAGGCATTCATTTATTTAAATTCGTAAAGGAAACTTTTAAGATACTCACTTCTTTTCCCGTTTGCCAGCACCAGTATCACGAAATCCCTTTGCAAAAGGATTATTATCAATTTTTAATTGAGTAATCTGCAAGGAAGGCAAGATGTTAAATATGTATTGTTAAAGCAATCTTATGTATATATGTACGAGCTACATTTTGTGATTACTCATGACAATTTATGGCACTTACCTTCTCATTTTGATATGCAGTTACGGCTATGAACTCCGTCTCCTTGAACACGTACGTGCGAAACGTTGAATATGGTAGCTTCAAGATATCGTTGGCGCGCACCAAATGAAAGCGCGGCTGATATTTATGCATTGAGTTCAGTATGGTCTATAGCCCAAAAGAGAGAGAGGGGGAGAGATAGAAAGAGACGCAAAGAATTTGATTAGTTATTGGTTCGAGCAGCACACAAAAACGAGGCAAAGTATTCCAACTGGCGGGCAGTAACTTGACAAAGCTTGACACGGCAACAACAAAGACGAGAAAACAAAAAAAAAAACAGGAGAGAAAAGTCGAAACCACAACCGAAACCAAACCCAAACCCAAACCCAAGCCAAAACTAAAAGTACAAGATACGAACAATAAACAAAGCTAAGCCCAAACGTAACGAAAAACGGCGACATTGTTGACGCTTGTAGTCGCCGCTCACTTACACGACGACAAGTTGCCGAGTGTGGATAGTGTGGGGGGAGGGGGGATGGAGCATGGGGGGAGCAGTGGCAAGTGTCTTGGTGGCGACCATAGCTATGGGTAATGGGCGATATGACCACCCACCAAAATGCACGAGACGCGAAAGCGAATGCGCCAAGTTTTGTCATAAAATATGAATTTGTCTGTCGGACCTCCCAGGCGACAGGCAGCAGCAAGAGCAGCAGCAGCAACAACAACAACAACAACAACAACAACAGTAACAGCAACAACGATGGCGATGACGACGGCAACTGTTGCAAAAGGAACACCTTTTTAATTACAATAACTTGCCGCCATCGTGGTCGTCGATTCGAGCGACAGGCGACGACTCCGAACTATCAGTATGTATGTACGAGCATGTACGACTAAGACTTGGCCTAGACCAGACTATTTTCTTGTTGTTGCGCTTGTTGTTGTTGTTGCTGTTGCTGGCTGCGCCTGCGTGTGGACCTCACAAGCTGCCTGCTGCCGCTGTCGCCGCCGCCATTTTGTTCGTGTAATTTTGAGCTGCAACAGCAACAAGAATAACAAAAACTTGTTGGGCGTTTTACCAGCCACAGACATTGCTTGGCTTTTTCCTTCTTTTTTCCCCTCTTCTTTTTCTCTTGTTGTTGTTGTTGTTGTTGCTGTTGATGGCGTTGCTCTTGACGGCTTCAATGACGATGACGACGACGTTGCCTGCTTAACCCTATAGTTTTTTAACTGGAGAATGTGTGTGGTTGTTGTTGCTGTTGTTGCTGTGGTGTTTAGGCAACGACATAGCTTTAGCTTTAGCATCGACTTCGCCTTGACTTACACGCCTCTTTGTCTCTCGGCGCATCGGACCACCAATGGCGTGGCAAGGTGTGACTAATAAGCTGAGCATGCGTTCAATGGCCCAAATGATTCAATGAATGCGAAATTTAAATAATTATGCCTTGCTTAAGACAAAGTATGTAGCAGATGAAGTTAAAGAAACTGACTAAATGAGTAGCAGTTGCAGCAAAAAATCCATTTGTGAACATTTCCAAAACATTTCAAAAATATAAACTGTTTACTCCTTAATGCAGTCGCCGATTCATTCAATCAATATCTATGAAAGCTATTACTACTTGGCTACTTCGTTTTAGATTAATGTAAGCCGTTCCACAAATTGCAAATTCTTTCCTCAAACTTGATCTAATAAATTTTTATAGTTTTAGGCTAAATTATGAGACCAATTGATATTATTTTTCAATCTATTTTTGGATATAAAAATAATGATGCTGTTTGATATTTAAAATGTCTGTAAAATCTGATCAGCTGTTATTAGCCTCTTTGTAGGTTTATTGCAATCTTAAGGAATATACTTGCAACTCTACAGATTTGTATTGGATATACTCGTAGCATATATCGGAGTAAAATTTAAAATGATTAAAAGGCTATTATTTATCGATATGTTTATGGATGCTAAAATGTTGACGCTGTTTTACATTAAAATCTATCATCTGATGGCATTTTTGTAGATTTCTTGCAGTGTTAAGGGATATACTCGTAGTATATATCCGATTAATATTTGAAATGAATACGCAGCGAATGATTGAGTGTTTGAGTGAGTTAATGAACGAGTATGTGACAAGATTTCAAAATAAATTCACTACGAATTGCTAATTATATGCCTTCAAGATGCTCTAAGTCTTAATGCCTGATGACAAACGTGCAAGTGTTGAAGTGAGTTAATGATTTGCTTTGCCATCCATCATTGCATAAACTTGCAAATGCATTCAAAGTCACTTTGTATTGCTAACTTGTATTAGGAATTGAATTGGTTTAAGAGGCACTCAGCTGTTTCGTCACCATAAAATGCTTTGCTTAAGAGTTGAGCTTCAAATATGATTAATAGATCCGCCATTTTCTACTTAGCCAGCGCTAAATGGCGCTGAGCGTCTCCGCTGAGCTGTTTCGAGTGCTTAGCTGCCTTTAAAGGCAACACTTCATTACCGAACAGATTTTACGCCGCTGTTGCGCCCATCAATCAACCACAGGCAACAGGCTAACTAGCCACAGCAACGAACCAACTAACCAACCAGTCTGTCAGTCTGTCAGTCTTTCAGTCTGTCTGTCTGTCTGTCAGTTGGTCAGTTAGTCAGTTAGTCCAGTCCAGTCCCGTCCAGTCAGAGTCTCGGTCTGTCAGTGCCAGCATTGCGTTAGTCCATAAATCGCCAGTAAAACGCGTCTCTGTCGTCGTCGTCATCTACTTAAAACGTCATTTGCTAATTTGCTTTAAATTTATTGACACATAAATTCATTTGCTCGTAACAGCAACAACTACAGCAACAACAACAACAACAACAACAACAAATGCAACAACAGCAACACGCAAATAATCATCATAATTACGTTGCTCGATGCGTTTGCATGTGTCTAGAATTTATTGATAAAACAATTTGCATTATTACGTTAATTTTTCAACGACGATGACGACGACGACGACAACAAAACATTTTTTCATGCACCCGAGCAGTCTTACTGGGGGAGCTGGATGGGTGGGTAGTAGAGGGGGGAGGGGAGAGTGGGCTTTTGACTAATAGGGAGGCGGTACAGAGGCACTGGGTTTGTCAGCAGCACGCACAAAATGAATTGCAAAAGGCGCAAAATTGTCATTTAAAATGTCATTCAGTTGTCGTTTGTCGACGACAACGTTTGCCGAGTTTGAATTGCGATTTAAATGAAAATAACCGTGAAGATAGCCATAAAAAAAACATTGTACATACATGCACAATAATGTGGTTGTTGTTATTGTTGTTGTTGTGGTTGCTACTGCTGCTGTAGCTTTTCATTTTTCCAAATGGGCATAAACAAGTCTAATTAGACATGAAGTGCGATTACACGGCCGCCACGCAATCGTCACTCAGACAACCAGCAACAAATCAGTAGTGGAAGCAGCAGCGGCAACTAGCACAGTGGTTGCACTAGTTGTTGTTGCTGTTGCTGTGCTTTTTAAGACACGCAGTCAGTCAGCAAGACAAAAGGCATGCCACAGTTTGTTGCTGTCCATTGCAGCAACATGTGGCTGCTGCTGCTGCTGCCGCTGCATTCGTCTTGTTATTGCAGTGACTTGTTTGTTTGTTGTTGTGATTTTATTGATTGAAAAGATAATGCAATTATGCGACATATATGGCGCTCGTTCCCTCTCTCCCTACACTGGCATGCACAAATATGCGCGTTTTGCACGCGTTTTTCTAGCGTTTTTGTTTCAAGCCTATTTTTCCGTTGCATGTATTCCCAAAATTGTGGCAACGTGTGCGGTCTTTGTCTCCCATTCTAACTAGCTATATACAAGTAGTTTGCCAAAGTCTGGTCAGTATACTATAGCTGCGCCCAACAAACTCGCATTCCAAGCGCGTCTTAACAAAATCAGCAACAACAACGACAACAACAACAGCAACGGTAAGAACAACACCCTGATGCTGAATCTATGCATTGTTGCACGTTTATAGGTTGTTGCGCCTGCGCAAATGAAACTTTTTGATTGCTGCTGCTGTTGTTGCTGATTCTGTGCGACACTTAATCACTCTATATCGCTTGGAGTTTTGTTTCGGACTGTATGTGTGCTGTTGGCGACTGATTGAGCGGCACGACCGCAGACCAAAAAAGGTGCGTCAATTTTCGTTGACGACAACTTTGGTGCTGTTGCTGTTGTTGCTGCTGTTGTTGCTGCTGCTTCTGTTGGTGTTGCTGCTACGTGCAACTACTTAAACGATCTTACACGCCTCTTCCTCCTGCTGCCCTCACGCCCACCGCTAGCAACAACTACAACAGCAATAACAACAGCAACACCACAATAGCAACAATCATCGACACGTTTGTGTGGACTTTTGCGTGTTGATTGCTGCGGCTCTTGTTGTTGTTGCTGTTGTTGCGATTGTTGTCGCTTGTTCTTGCACATTCATTGCTGGCATATTATCACATAATTTAACTGATGGAACTGCAGTTTGCTCCCTGCTACTGCTACTGCTACTGCTGATGTTCACTACCGATGTCTGTCGCACTTAGTTGACGCTTGTCTGCCCAGTTTTGTGATTATTGTCGCTTGTTGTTGCTCGATTCGATCGCGCTGTCGCCTTGTTGGCGTGCCTAATTGAATGATCACTCACACTTTGATTTGGCATGCCTGCTGATTTCTGCCCGCTAGTCTTAGTTAACGGTTTGTCTAGTTATACGCTCGCCAGTGGCTGCAAGCTGAACACAAGTTCGATCGGCACTTGCAGCCACTTCGAGCACACGAGTTACTGAACTCTCTGGCCTGATCAATTTGCGGGCAGTGATTATTTATTATGAAGGAAGCAATACAAGTACTTGAAGAAAACTAGCAATATTTTAATGATATTGTTGATCTTCAATAATCTTGGGCTTAACGCAGTTAAGCTGAGTGATCGTAAGTCTTTCAGACATAGAAATCTGATATGCGATTGCTTGTCATATTTAAGTAATGAAAAGCAAGATAAGCACTTAATCAAATGCAAGAAACTATTATTAAATAAATAGTGATTTATTAAAAAAAAAACGAAAAGTTTGAGTTTAGAAGAATTGCAGAATTGAGATTAAGAATAATTATAACTGAACTTTACAGCGATCTTATATTTTAAAATTGTAAAAATATTGCTTGATTGGAGGGTGAA